ATTTTTTGATTGCCTTTTCGTAAATGTCATTCATACCCCCTATTTTAGCATAAAATTATAAATAATAACTATGAATAACATAACCAAAAACTTCACTGGTGGAAATTTCTTTGCTTTCAATAGGAGTAGCAGTAATTCCCAAGCGTCTAGCCTTAGGTAGAGCAGTAAAAACTCATTTTGCAAATCCGTACCTTTCTTCCAACTGTTTTTCCTTAATAGAAAATCGTGGTTTTTCTCCGCTTCATGAACGATGAGCTTCATCCACAATGATATAGATATTATCACGACTATTTCAAACTTCGGAAACATTTTTTTCCATTTTTTGAATATTATAGAAGATAATACTTCCTTGCTTAATTTCTTGTAGCGTTTTTTTTAATCCAGAACGAGATTTAGTTTCCAAAAATTCCATTTTAGCTAGAAAGTTATCCTTAGCAAAAGAAAATTTTTCCTGAATTTGCTTATCCAGTTCTTTGCGGTCATTAATTATCAAAATCGTTGCCGAAGGATAAAAATTTAATATTTGTTTAACTAAAAAAATAATTAAATAACTTGACTTCCCTGAACCTTGCGTATGCTCGATTATTCCCTTTTTTTTTTCTCCAACAAGCAAGGACTTTTGGAAAGCCAAAGAAGCGAAATATTGATGGCAGGCAGCAATTTTTTTTACTGTTTTTTCTTCTTTTGCAAAAAAAATAAAATTTTCTAGAAAATCAAGAACAACAGAAGGAGATAAGAGAGTACTTAAAACCCAATCAATGCTAGTATTGGAGATATTTTCTAAATCTCTTCAATATCAATATTCCTTTAAACTTTTAGCGGAAACTGTTCCATACTTAGTTTTATGTCCATTAGTAATAACATTAAAAAGATTAAAAGAAAATAATTGAGGAATTTCTTCTTGGTATGTTTGGATTTGGTTAAATAATTCTTCGAGGCGGCTTTCATTTGAGCCTCGAAAGGGGGATTTGCACTCAATTGTAATAAATGGCAAGCCATTAACAAATAGAACTAAATCAGCCCTTTTGGGAAGAACAGAAAATTCTTTACCTAGATGGAAAGAGTTATTATTAATTATTTTTCTGTCTAATAATTTTACAGTAATATCTTTATCTTCTAAATACAGGTCATTTAATAGATAATAATGAAATTTTTTGTTTACAGTGGGTAAGTCGACAAGATAATCATTGTTTAAGGAAATCTTGCTTAAAATAGATTTGCGGATTTCAGGAGTAAATTCTATTTCAGGATTTAGTTTTGCTAGTCGAAAAAAAAGTATATCCTCTTGGATAATTCCTTGCTTTTTATCCACTTTTTTCCAACCTAATTTCTCTAACTGGCTAGCAATATGTTCTTGGAGTAGTTTTTCTTTGAATATTGTTGTTGACATTTTCCCTAAAAATTATTAATAAGATTTTAGCCTTTTATGTTTAAAAAATTTCCGCTAGCAGAGTTTTTGCTTTACCGAAAGGAGAAAATTCCTACTGGTCGCTTTTTAACCATCAATGGCGATGACCTTTATTCTAATTCTCCTTATCTCTTAAAGGATTATCATTATGAGAATTTTCCTAATACAAAATTAAAAAAAAGTGGTTACAATAGCTTTTTTCGGAAAGGAGATATTTTATTGTTATCATTTGGTTCAAGAGCAAATGAAAAAATATGATTAGCAGAAGAAGATGGAATTTGTAACGGGCAGTTTAAAGTATTAATAGCCAATAATGAAATTATTTTAAGTCAATACCTTATTTTATTGCTTCTTAGCAAAAATATTAAAAAATGAACCAAATGCACATTAGTAGGTAGTGCTATTCCTTATGTGCTATGAAAAACTTTTATTAAAAAAGAAGTGTTTATCCCTTCTTTGACTGAGCAAAAGAAAATTATTCTCTTCCGTTCACAAATAGAAAAAATTGTTCTTTCTCTCGCCAAATTAGAGCAAGATAAGAATCCTCCCAAAAAGGATTTGAAAGATTTAATTAGTGTTTCGCGAGGTCTAATGTCTGCTTCGGAAGGTCAATTTAATGCTTTCTACCGTTTATACACCGCTAGCAACAGTAAAAAATTTCACTCGAAACCTCTCTATTATCCCCCAGCAATTATCGTTGCTTCAGCTTGAGATTTTTCTTCCCAAGGTAATTTTCTTATTGAATATTCTAATTCTCCCTTTAATGCTTCTAGTTGGGTTTATATTCTAAAAACTTCCGATAACAAAAACTTGGTTTCTATTTTCTGTTCTCTAAAAAATAAGCAACATTCATTTACTAAATATCTTTCTGCCACTAGCGTAATCCAAAGGTTAAGTGACAAAGTTTTAAAGAATCTTTCTGTGTCTATTTTGCCTTCGCATTTAGAAGCGATATTAGAAAAGTTGTTAAATTTTATTTGTTTAAACTCTTTTTTTGTTCAAAGAGTTAACTTGCTCTCTCAACTCATTAGTGAACTAAATGAAGCAAAAATTAATCTATTTCTCCATCCTGCTTCAGCTTAGTTAACAATTCTTCAATTTCTTTCCTTTCCAATTCTAACTTGTGAAAAGTTTCTAAAATTTCCGAACTTAGTTTTTGAATTTCCTTTTTAATCTCTTGCGGATCTCGAGGCTTTTCTTCTTGGTAAGTATAAATTCCTGGCAGTAAAAGGTAGTCTCTTTTCTTTATTTCTTCTAAAGCAGCTTTTGCTGTGAAGTCAGTTGGCAGATAGTTTTTATTACCAAACCATTTGCGATATTCCTTGGTAATTGAGTTAATTTCTTCTGTTTTTAATATTCGCACTTTGCGTCCTTGGATTTCTCCCACAAAATCACTACAATCAGCAAAAAATATGTCTTTTCTTTCTCTTCCCTTACGGATAATTCAAACCGTTACAGGTATCCCAGTGTTGTAAAAAAGTTTATCAGGCAGTCTAATTACTGCATCTACTAAATTGTCTTCTAAAATATTCTTTCGAATCTCTTCTTCTTTTTTAGCTGCACTAACCGAATTATTTGCTAGAATAACTGCTGCCACGCCATTTTTATTTAGCTTGTTAATCATATGTTGTAATCAAGCAAAATTAGCATTGTTTTTAGGAGGAAGTCCATACTTTCAACGAATAGGGTCTTCTTTTGCCTCCCATTGTTGATTGAAAGGGGGATTAGATAGTATAAAATCAACCTGTCCATCTAACTTTTTATGTAAATCCTCCTTAAAAGTGTCCTCGGGTTTATCTCCTAAATCGCATTCCAAACCTCGCAAAAGTGTGTTAGTTTTCCCTACTCGCCAAACACTAGTAGCCTTTTCCTGCCCATAAATATTTATTGAATGCCCATTTTTTTTGTAATTGCGAACAAATTCTACGGCTTGAATGAACATTCCTCCCGAACCACAACAAGGGTCATAAATTTTGCCTTGAAAAGGCTGGATTAGTTCTACCAGCAACTTTACAACACAACGAGGAGTATAAAATTCCCCACTTTTGCTTCTTTCTCCGGTTGGAAAAGCAAATTTTCCCAAAAAATATTCGTAAATATGCCCTATATCGTCATTTTCCTTGTCAGCTGAAGGTAATTTATTGGAAAATGTGTCTAATAATTTAGCAACATTGTCGTTATCCAGATCTATTCGTGAGTAAAAGGAAGTAGGGAAAACTCTGCTTAGCTCTTCGTTTTCCTGCGCCAGAAGAGAAAAAGCTTTATCAATAATTAATTTAAGATTAGGTCGTAGTTTATTTTCATTAATATAATTTCAATGAGATTCATTTGGTACGTAAATCACTCGGCAAGCCCGATATCAATCTCGCTCGTATTTTTTATCATTAACTAACTTGGGATTTTCTCTTTATTTTGTTTGCTCATGAGCGTTTGCAACTGTCAAATTTGTCTGAAATGTATTTCAAAAAAATTAATCACAAGCAAGTATCGCGGTAATCCGGGTGATTCGCTTCTAGTTTTCCTCTCAATTGATTAGCACTTTCCCAAAGGCTTTTTTCAATTTCCTGGAGAGAATTTTTTTCCATAGCTGATATATCATTTATTTTATAGCTTGAAGATGATAGATTTAGCCTCGGATGTGTTAAATGTTTAAATAATGGGTAAACAAATATTTATTGCTCCTACTTTTGCATTTATTCCCCACCTTCTAAACTCCAAACAGGAGAAATAAACTTACCTCTGTCTAAAAATACCATTTATTCCCGACCTAATTAGCCATTAGGGGAGACAAACCTTTTTATTCTGAATACTTTATATTCAGTAAACTACTCAACATGTCTCCCACTAAGATTTTATTTCTGACTAAACATGCCTTCTTTTTTGTTCCTCTCTTTTTCTGTCTAAAATGTTGGAGATAAATTAGTAAATAGGAAAAATAAAAATACTTTCCTTAGGATAATTTCAAAGAATACTTAGTTTTGGGAAACTAGCGAACCTATATCTTAATTTTATATATACTTTATTGTTCTGAATAGCAATCTTTATAAAATTATAATATATTATGATATGATAGCACTCCCTAACTGACAGCATCTCGGTAGACTCTAGTTAGTTTGCTGAGAAAATATGCCAAAAAGAAAAGTAAAAAAATATGGTAAATTGAAATTTCAACAAAATATTAAAAAATTCGGTCTTTTATTTTTTCTTCTCAGAACCTACTCGACTTCCTAATATTGGTTATCTAGGAGTTGGTTATGATATCTATAGAGGCAATCCTAAAGAAATAGGTAGTGTGGATAAAGGCTTTAAATTGGAGCCTATTTTTAATCTTACTTTAGATGGAGGAATAACTCCTGATGGTCGTTATGTTCTGCCCAAAGGAATTGCTGCTCAGCAATGTATTTCTTGTATTATTGATTTTGAGACTGACTATGTTAAAACTATAAAGAATTATGAAGAAGATTTAGAAAAATCAATATCAGTTAATGGAGAAATTTCTTTTCCTTGAGAATCAAAGTTTAGTGCTTCTTATAGTTATAAAAAAATATACAAAGCTACCAGGGAGAAAGAAAGAAAATTTACTATGAATGGAGCTAATTGCGCATTATATTGTATGACTGGTCAAACATTTTTACCACGAGAGTTATCTAATAATTTTAGAATAGCAGTTAGTTTACTAACTGATAATAGCGATGACTTTATTTATAGCGAATTTATTGATGCTTTTGGGACTCATTACATTCACTCTATGAAGATGGGTAGTAATTTTGAGGTATTAACTGAGTTTACTAAATCATCTTGGGAAGAAATGAACTCAAGAGAGATTGATGTCGCTTCCTCAGCCTCTATAAATGCATTTATTAAGGCAGGTGTCGAAATAAAAGATAAAGAGAAGATAGAACAAGCGAAGAAATTTCTGTCTTATTCAGAAGGAAGCTATATCCATTCAACAGGAGCAAGCATACCACCAAGTGGCAAGATGGAAGATTGAATACCTCATGCTTTCGAAAATCCTATGCCTCAAACTTATGAAATAAGTAATATATATAATTTATTAAATAGCAACTACTTTCCCAATGACAAAATCATTGAACTAAAAAGAGTCAAGTTAAAAGAAGCGGTTGAGAAGCACTGTCAACGTTTAAAAAAACAAGGCATTGTTGAATGGTGTTCCGAAACTGATAAACCAAAAATACCTAAACCCCAAACCATAACTATGTATAATTGCCCAATAAAAAAAGAGGATAATAGTATTGAATTGTCTTATGGTTGCATTGGACAACTATCATCAACAGATGATTGTCAAAATATAAACACCTTAAATCTTGTTACCTTGAATAGTTATCTCTGTCCTAGATTTGACATAGACTTAGTTGGCTCAACTGTTTATGCTTGCCCGTTTGATATAGATGTTCCAAGAAATCAAATCATGAAAAATGTACGTTTTGGTTGTTTAGGGCAACTCTCTTTAGCAAATGAATGTGAAAACTCTTGAGACGGAGGATTAAAAAACTCCACCTGTGAAAGATTTGATATCACAAAAAGAACTATCTATAAATGTCCTTTTAATCCTTTTGGTTCTTACCTTAACGTGAATACCAAAATGAGCAAAAATATAGGTTGCATTGGCCAATATTCTCATGTTAATAAGTGTTACAATCAGATATATGGATGTTATAAAAATCCTTTTTTTCCTGATGATCCTGTTTATTATTGTTCTAACCATACCATTCACTTCCCATGCGAAGTGGTTTATTCGCTGGAAGAAACCGCTAGAAACACAGGAAAAGAAAAAAATTTGAAAATTTCTGCTAATGAGCACAACCAAAGAGAGTTAGAATTACCTACAAGTAGTAACCAATTTAAAACACCGAAGAAAGAGTTTAAACAATTATTAGAACACAAATATCAAATAGAAATATCTCCTAAACAATAATCATCCCAATCAAAATCTGCACCAACCGTGACCAAAAATTAGCATTACCAACTCTCTGTTATACTACTCTTAATATGATTTTCTAACTCACTCTTAGTAAATCACCTATTTCCACAAAGAGCCACAGCCTTTCTTAAATCACTGGCTCGGGAATAAGTTCAGGTGCCACCACCACTGGAATTAACTCATTTACCGGAATCAAACTGAAATAGACTTGGATTAACTCTTAAATTAGAATAACGACTAAATCCTTGCTCGACAGTGGGGCATTTATCAAAATGACTTCCTCCTTGGACACAACGATTTCATTCATCATCTAACATAGGATACCA